ACGTAGACGAGGCAGATTATGACGAAGAAGAAGAAGAGTACTGGTGTGCCGAGAATTTCCGCGATGGTCCCGCCGCGCTAAATTTCCTTCGGCAGTCGGATGCCTCGGTTCGTAGCCCTCAGAGGAAGCGTAGTGACGCTGCCCCTGCTGATGGCGATGCGCCTGTTCCCGACGCAGCGGGCAAGAAGTCTGCGGATGCAAGCCCCCTGCCCGCGTGAGCCTGTGCCGAGCCTCTTTGTACCTGCGGATATGCCAGAATCGTCTGGCGGTAGGTCCACTGCTAGAACAAACGAGGACATCTATGCTGAGGCACAAGAGCATTTCAAATCTCGCTGGTCTGACAGATTCCCTTGGCTCATGCTCTTGAAAACTGACGATGGGCTCCCGGCCTTCAAGTGCAAAGTATGCGCAGTGCATGCAGGACCCGCAGGACGTACCGGCAAATCGGGCAAGGGAGCGACGGACGTGCAGACCCAGTCGTTCAAGAAGCACGCCGGGACGCAGAAGCATCGCCTCGCCATGTCCAAGCAGGACGATCTCTTGCAGCTGGCGACGAACCAGCAGCGGATCGATAAGCATCCTCGCACGGCCGACGAAGAGAAGGAGCGAGTCATCGCGCTGCTCGACTCCCTCTACTTCTGCACCAAGTGTAACGAACCCATGGAAACATGGATTCGTTTGGTGCGATACCTCTCATCGTGCAGTTTCAAGGGCTTCCCAAAGTCTGCCTACGGCACGTACTATAACTGGTGAGAACTCCAGTGACTACGAACTTCTCTTTGTGTGGTCTTTACATATGTACAGTGGCGGATTAAATTGCCCGGATGTTTAACACTTTGTAACGTATCGCTATGCCACACATGTTTCGAAAATAGTAACACCCGTTTTTTGCCATTCCGTTACAAGGTTTTCGAGTTTTCCTTCAACCGTTTCTTGCTTGGCGCGATTGTGACACTACCGGAAAGTGGGGTTGAAATTTACTCCTCGACTATCGATGCGGACATATCCTACCGAGCAGAAGAGTAGATCTATTTTCCCCCGTCACTCGGTGTGTACATCGTCATGCGCAACAGTTGCTGGCTTAGGAGTTAGTCCGGAAGCGAGCCTACGACCGCATCGCTATGAAGTCGTTAAATGAGCGGAAGCGCGCGAGGATCATAAGCATGTTGCGTGCGGGGCATTCGACTAGGAAAATAGACAAAGTTCTTGGCATAGGCAAGAGCACCGTGCACGATTACGGTTTGAAACTCGCTGCTGAGACTAGTCTCGAGGAGGTGCGACCTACGATGCATTCGGCCGGCCGCCCCCGCTTAATCACTACCCGTCTCCAGAGCGGAATAATACGCGCGATTACTAGCGGGGAGGCAAAAAGCTCTGTAGACGCGGCAAATATGTTGTTGGAGAAGCACGGTCTCGCCGTAGACTCGAAGACGGTCCGGAACTCATTACGATCCGCGGGGCTGATCGCCGTGCATCAACCCAAGAAACCCAGGCTCTCACCGAAAAACATCCGAGATCGTCTCGACTTCGCGCGGTCGCATGCCGACTGGACGCTGGACGACTGGAAGCGGGTGATTTGGTCTGACGAGACAAAGATAAACCGCTACTGCTCCTACGGACGTGCGTACGCCTGGATTCGCGAGGGCACCAGCCTTCGGAGCCATCAAGTCCAACAGACAGTTAAGCATGGGGGCGGTTCTGTGATGGTGTGGGGTTGCATGACGTATGAGGGGGCGGGGTTCATGTGCAAGATAGATGGCAGGATGGATGGGCCGCTGTATCGCAGCATCTTGTAAGATGAGCTCAAACAGACCATCGATTTTTTCAAGCTTTCCCCCTCAGAGGTCATTTTCCAGCACGACAATGATCCCAAGCACAGGTCTCGTCTGGTCCAAGACTGGCTTGGGGAGCAGGAGTACGCGGTGCTGGAATGGCCGTCGTGCTCCCCGGACCTTAACCCGATTGAGCACCTATGGGCACACTTGAAAAGGCAGCTGGGGAAGTACGAAAAGCCGCCAAGTGGAATGCTGGAGCTGTGGGAGAGGGTGCAGGAGGAATGGGACAAGATACCGGCGGAGGTGTGTGCAAACCTGATCGACAGCCTGCCGAGGAGGATCAAGGCAGTGATTCGAGCAAAGGGACGCTGGACTAGGTACTAGTTTTCCTAGAATCTAGTATGCTACATGTTTTCGGTACAAATTGTCCGGATGTTATCCTATGCTATGCTTAGGTGTTTAAGGACCATGTGTGGTACTACTTTGGTGTTTGTCAACTCGAGTGAGTGCTCTAACTGATCTTCTCAGCGTGTATGCACACCATACATTAAGGCTTAATGTTTACGCCGCTGCACTCATCAAAATGCCAAAAAAGGCTGAACATGTGGACAATTTAATCCGCCACTGTAACATACAACAACTTGGCTTGTGCGTGTCATGTAATAGGTACGGCTTCGGCGAGCTGACACAAGCGACGGCAACGTGGTTGCAGACGACTCAACTCCAACACCTGCTGGCGAGTCCCTACATTGGCCTGAGCCTCGACGAAAGCACCGATCGCTGCCGTGGCAAGCACATGATCGTGTTTTGCCACGTTCATCCGGGAAGGGCGGCTTGTAACCAAGTACCTGGCTCTGTTGATAGTGGAGAAGGCGGATGCGGCATCGCTTCTCGCCCTCTTGTTGTCCCATCTGCAGGCGATTGGCGTCGACCTCGGCCGCATCTCTGGCATAAGCACTGACGGCGCTGTCGTCATGATGGGATCGCGCTCTGGACTTGTGGCCCGCCTTCGACTTCGCGTTCCGCACCTTGTCTCTTGCCATTGCATTGCCCATCGGTTCGTCATCCGTTTGCTGTATGCATGTTATGTATATTTGCTTCTTGTTTTGTTTATAATTCCAATCCCTAATTTGCTTCCTAGTTTGCATCTCATCTCCTTATCCCATTGCAGAGAGGTGCTGGCGGCAAAGGCTGCTGCCAAGGAGATCCCTGTCTTCAGCATGGTGGACAACATCATTCGCGAGATCGCTGAGCTGCTCGGTCGCTCCAACCCTTGGCATCAACGGTTCCTGCAGCTCCAGGAGGTGTTCATCTCGACGAACCTCGAGCTCCAGGGCATCCACAACATCTGCTAGCTGTCGCACGGAGATGCGGTCATCCGCCTGGTCGAGGTCCTACTAGCCATCGTGGTCATGCTGCAGGAGTACGACGCCAAGCTGTACGCGCTCGTCACCAGTTACCGCTTCTGGCTCCTCCTGATGTTCCTCGCCGACGTGCTGGAGCTGCTGAATGTCCTCAACAAGGTCTTCCAGGAGCGGGAGGTAAATATGTTAAATGCTTGTGTTTGCATGCATGTCGATGTTGCTTGTCTCTGCCGCTCGTCCCTTAATCACACATCCGTCTGTGATGCCCTACCTCTCCTTGCCCCCCTACCCACCAGCTGGATTACACAACGGTGCACGCGCAGATCATCCGCACGACCTCGCTGCTAGAGAGCCGCTACGTGGACTGCGGAGACGACTTCACCGGCGGGCCCAATGATCGATTGACGTGGTTCCTCGCCAAGCACGGGCCCGGCAAGTCCACGCTGGTGACAGTGGAGGGGATTGACTGCGATGGCCGACCTTCACGGTTCACCTTCGAGCTACACGAAGAGCCAGAAGAGGACTACCCGGGGCCAGCGACCACGATGGGAGTGTCGTGGCGTGCATGGCTCTAGCGGAGGGCCTGGTCCGCAACCTTGACGAGCGCATAGGCGATCTGCGGCAGCTGTCGGGAGCGCGCCTATTCAGCGCGGACACATGGCCGCCCAACTGGGACCGACAGGCACGGAGGACGCAGTGCCTCGAGTGGTTCAATTCGCTCGTGGTCATCTACCGCGCTGAAGACAGGGACGAGATTCTGCCAGGTGAATCACCATCTACTCCTTTCAGTATCCCTTTTGCAATGTATCTGAAACAAGACACCAATATTTTACTAGCTGTGTACTGTTTCCGATAACCCAACCCTTCTCCCTCTCCTTGTGTGCCTTGTCTGAGTAGGTATAGACAAGCGCAAAGCCAGAGCGAGCTCCGCAACTTCGTCCCCGTCCTTGCTGCGCTTCCCAAGGCGGACAAGTCATTCCACACGGGGCTGAGCGCCATGCTCAAGACGCAGGACTGGAGGGACAGCTACCCCAACCTGGTCAACCTGTGGGTGGCGGTGGCTGTCCTTCCGTTGAGCACTGTCGAGTGCGAGCGCGGGTTCTCCCGCCAGAACGTCATCAAGAGTTGGCTGCGGGGGGCTCTCAAGGATACTAGGCTAGGAGATCTGATGTGCATGTCGCAGCTAAAGTATGACCCGACTGGGAAGAGGTGGTCACCATCTGGCGGGCTTATAAGAAGAGGAAGCCCTTAGCAACGCCCTACCCGAGGCTAGTAGCAGCAGGAAGGGAAAGGAGAAAGTAGATGATGATATGCCAGCAGCGCCTCAGCAGGATATGCAGGATATTGAATGATTCCGTGTATGTAGTGAAATGTAGTGCATTCTCTAATGAAAAACCATAAAAACGCTCATACAAAAGTTTGGCTATGACTCTGATTGGTCAGACAAAAAATTGAAGGCTACTCTGATTGTTCAGACTTTTCAAGGAGGTAACTCTGACACCCATACCAAGGGAATGCAGTGGACTCTGACGAATGAGACAGCCCAAAACCAATTTGGGGCCTGATCCGAATGTATACTCAGATCTTGGAAGTGAAGGTCCTAAGCTTCACATTGCAGAGATAAAAGTTCCTGATAGGAGAGATGGCGGAGAGCTACCGGTATCTGCAGGGTTGGAGACAGCGGCGAATGTTACAGCAAGTATGATGTCGTGTATAAAAATCCAATCAAAATTTGTTAGGCCTGTCTTTTAGGATTCTATTACTGACCTTCCCACTATAACGCATCTGTTCATACCGCAAATTACCCTTCACATCCTTAACTTTCTTCTCTATCTTGGGGCCTAATGTCAACTTCCCGGGCCACAATTTTATGAGCTAGCCGCTCAAGCCATGCGACCGCTATTCCAGTCGCCCTCCTCACTTCCCCGCCAGCATCGTCGCACGCCCTTCGCCAGCGGTCGCCCGTTTCGCACAAGCCGTGCGACACGCTTTAACGCATTCTTCTTCCTCCTCGTTCTGTCGCTCGGCGGCTCCCTGCTTTTGCTCTGGCGACTGCAGCTGCTGCAGCGACCGCTAACGGAAGACGGAAAACGTTTAACGCTGTCGGAAAAAGTGACTGAGACGAACGGAAATGCAGGGAAGGCGGATCAAGGGACGGATAAGCGTTTCACCAGCGGCAGCAGCAACACCGGCACCGGCAGCATCAGCAATAGTGGGGGAAACAACAAGGCTCCATCTTTATTAGATGCTGATAACGAGGATGATTATGATGACGCCGATTTCTTATTGGATGGATCCACTGATGCCACGTCAGCAGGAACGCGGGAGGAAGGGAAAGGGGCAGGTAAAGCGGACGCGATTGGTGGAGAGAATAAGGAGCCCAGTGCTGACGTGGCTCGGAAACACGAGATCTGCAAGAGAATGATTAAGAGCCCTCCTCTAGTGTGCGCGCATGGGGGCGATGCC